GCCCAGCCGCGGGAGTCACCGCCCACAGCGCGTGCGCGCGCACAGACACCTGCGGCACTCCAGCCCGCCTGACCTGCCCGTGTGCAGGCAGCTCTCCTCCGGTCACCACTGCCTCTCTGCTCCAAACCCAGACAGCAAACGCTCAGCAAGCCCCAGGGGCGCCCTGCACAGCCACATCCGGCTTATTAAGTGTAGTCACCGGCCACTAAGCCCCCGCCTCACACGCAGGGACTCTGTGCCGAGCAGCACGACCCCGGGGATGCAGCCGCCGCAGGCAGGGGTCTCGGGACCCAGCACGGGGCAAGGCGAGCCCCAGCGCCAGGGCATTATCTGGGAGCGGGTGTGCAGGGAGCTCAAGGCCCAGGGAGAGCGCAGGGAAAGGCAGCAACCGCAGGCAGCTCCGAAGGATGACCCAGGATCAGGTCCTTGAGAGGTCTCTGCTTTCTCCTAAGGCCAGAACCTCCGGGCCGTGAGACAGGGTGGCCGGCTGTACGCGAGGCAGGACCCTGCTCAGGGACGCCCGCAACCATCGGCTCAAGGCAGAGGATCCTGACCGGACTGGGAGGCCGCTGGGTCAGTGTGGGAAGGCAGGTGCTACGCGGGACAGCGTGCGCGGCGGGAGATGGGGGCACCGCGACACGGCCGCTCGCTTAGGTGAGCGGAGCAGGCACTCGGGTTTGGGTAGCGGCTCTGAGCGGGGCTCCTGGGTCTCGATGACGGACAGTCTGACCGGTGACTGGACGAGAACACCCGCCTTCTGGGAGTGCACGTCTGACAAGCCACGCGCCGGGCGCTGATCGAGTCCTCCAAGGCTGAGCCCACCAGGACCCACCGAGGCCAGGGAAGCTGCGCAGGAGGAACGCGCAGGCAGGGCGCAGCTAACCCCCCAAACATCAACTCGCCAGGCACAGAGCGGGCGAGGGCCCCGCCAGGCAGACCGAGCGCCGAGGACGCGGCTCCACGGGGAGCGTCCACCAAGAGCCCCAGACCACACAAGACGGGAAGCGTCCACCAAGAGCCCCAGACCACACAAGACGGGAAGCGTCCACCAAGAGCCCCAGACCACACAAGACAGGGGTCCCACGGCTGCCGGGACGGCCCAGACTGGAGACCTCGGCGGGGAGCGGCTTCCAGCGGCGGCGCGCGAGGGCCCCGGGGAAGTCCAACAAGGCTGGCTGCGCGGGGCAGGAGGCGGAGGGGAGAGGCGCGGCATCAGGGCAGGGGTCTCTGCGGATGCGCACGGCTCGAGCTCGCAGCCCGCCGTCGGCCACCGAGAGCGCGGCCAGGCTTCTCCACCTGCCGTACCGCCGCGGCGAGCCCCGGACCGGCGCCCGAGGGCGGACTCCGCGGAAGAGCGGGGCTCCCGCCAGCGCCCCGAGCGCCCCGCCCGCAGCCCCGCGTCGCCAGCAGGTGCGCGGGGCGCGCCCGGCGGGAGGGCGCAGCACGTGACGCGGCGTCGACCCGCCCTCCGCCCGGCTCACCAGCAGGCTGTCCACGTTGATGGGGTCCCGGCAGCGGCGGCGCACCGGCTCCTCGGCCGGGTCCACCAGCAGGCTGGGCAGCCGCCGGGCCGGCCGCTGCTGACTCATGCTGCCCGCGCCCTCGCACCCCGGGGCTCTCCCGCCCTGCGCGCCGGCTTCCGGGGGGCGGCTGGCGCCACGTGGGCCCCTGGCCCGCTCTGAGGCGACGCCCGGCGAGGCGGCGCGGCGCTCGCCGACCGACGCGCCACGGCTCCCGCGGGCGCGCGACGTCCCGGCGCCGGCGGCACGGGGTGAAGGGGCGCTGACCCTCGCTCAGGGCGCCGCGCCCGCCATCTTCGCGCATGCGCGCCTCTCCGCGCCCGTGCGCACGCGCGCCGCCCGCGCTCCCACGCCCCCTCGGCTCGCGGCGCCCGGAAAACCCGGAGGGCGGAGTACACGGAGAGGATGAGGAAGCCAAAGGAAGACGTGGAGTCAGGATCGGGGAGGAGCGGACGGGAGCGAGAGCGGACAGGCAACTCCTGGCCGGTGTGGACGCTTAGCAGATGCTGTAACCGAGCCCACGTGGAACAGCGCGTTCTGTGCTGTCCTGTTTCTTTCTTTTTTTTTTTTTAATTGGCGGAGTGAATCACTGATTACCTCTTGTGCCAGGTACGAGGCAGGTCCAGGAGATAATAGCAGACTCCATCTCCAGTTCCTGCGAAGGAAGGAGGTCGAGTATTTTAACGAAGATGGGTTTCCAAATCCTGGCTCCTGCTTGTCGGTTAGAAGACCCGCAGCAGGTGACTTAATCCCCTGTGCCTCAGTTTCCTCGTCTGTGGAGTGGGAGTCGTGGCAGGACTTGGCTCTCACGGCGGGTGTGAGCATGAAATGAATGAACGCGGATTACCTAGAACAGGGACTACTGCATGTTGGAGGAGGAACTGTGGTAGTGCAGGGTTGGGGGAAGCAACTGACCTGCCCGTTCAGCCCAGGGCTGGGGGCTTCCCCCTAGGCTGTAAACTGGACTTTGTATTTCCAGCAGGGATCCTGGCGGATCGAGTGTTCAGAATGTTTGCCTAGCGTGACTGAGGCATTTTTTTCCTTCCCAGAACAGAGAATTTGCCAGAGCAGTTATCACGGAGACAGATAGCGTAACCCCCTGGGGTCCCTGGGCGCTGCAGCTCTGGAGATGGGAAGTGGCTGCCTCTTTAAGAGAGCTACGCATCTGTTATCTCTCCGGCATTCCGCACGCACGGGTGCCAACAGGGAAAGATGCATTTTCCTCTGCTGGGTTTACAGAGCAGGAAGAGGAAGATCAGCGAGATTACAACCCCCCCCCCTTCCATGGCTGATTGGTTAATTTCATATTCATATCCTTGAGAAGATTCTTGAAAGGGGACTGGATTTTCTACAGCCAGGGAGGGTGGGGTGTGGACCGGTAGGTGGGTGAGGGTGGCAGAGGCTGAGAAAGGGCTGGGCCTGGGGTTGGGGCGGGCGCCCTTCACTCACTCCCACATGTGCCTGGTGGAGGGGAGAACCCGACAGCTTCCGGATCCTTCTTCGCTGGTGGAGCCATAACCAGAATTAAGATGTGTCCAGCCTGCCGTGGCAGCCCAAAGGAGGAAGAAAAACTAGCAGTTTGAGTTTGGTATAAATTACAGGTGCTTTTCACACACTACCCTTTGGGGTGGCTGTTTCTAGTCCCGATGGGGGCTTAAGTGCTGACCTCCAGCCCCCCCCCCCCCATCATCTGCTGTGCCGCCAGCGGCCCTTCACTGGTGCACAGTTCACAGCATAGGAACTCTGGTGTTGTCCATCTGTGGTCCTGTTGCGTCCTGGGGCAGAACAGCACCTAGGACAGAGTGGGGCATGAGCTTTGCGACTCTGATGTGGGCCACATGCGCAGGTGGCTTGGGTGCCTCCTCCCTTCTTCAGAATGTCCTCCCCAGAGGTCAGCGAGGAAATGGTCACCTCCAGTGGGACTTTCTGGGCCCACAGACGTGCTCTGCACTGTCCAGTGTGGTGGCCACTGGCCACGTGAAGCTGTTGAGTGCTTGAAATACGGCCAGTGTGTCTAGGACCTGAATTTTAACTTGGAGCCCCACATAACTGGTGGCTACCACGTTGGACAGCACAGGTGGATGAATTGAAATTGTGGGGATCATCTAGCCCAGTTGCTGTGGCTGGGATGTTTGCACCCCCCCAACCCAATCACCTGTTGGGATCTCATCCTTGTGTGATGGTATTTGGAGGCAGGATTTTGGGAGCTGTTTAGTTCATGAATAACCGGCCTTTAGGAGTGGGGTTAGTGCCTTGATGATAGAGACCCCAGAGAACTTTCTTTCTGTTTCCATCATGGGAGGGTACATCTGGGAGTCAGTGGCTAAGAACCTGGGTCTAGACCCTGAGTCTGCTGGCACCGGTTGGTCGTGGGCTTTCAGCTTGCAGGATTGTGATGAGTAAGTTTGTAGCTGTTGGGCTGCTCACCTTATTGTATTCTGTGAGAGCAGCACCAACAGCTGGGGCGCCAGCGCTGTTCTGGCCCATGGGCCTCAGCATCGCCATCACGTGGGGACTTGTCAGAAGGGCACATTCCCTGGCCCTGCCCAGACTACTAAGCCCGGAACGCGGAGGGTTTGGCTGGACTCTGCAGGGACTGGCCCAGCCTAGCTCCTTATTTTTCAGTTCTTGCCCCGTCTTCAAGGGCCTCATACGCCTCAGTCAATCATTGGCTGAACTGAAGCCAACTTATTTATTTATTTATTGACAGGCAGAGTTAGTGAGAGAGAGAGACAGAGAGAAAGGTCTTCCTTTTGCCGTTGGTTCACCCCCCAATGGCTGCTATGGCCGGTGCACTGCACCGATCCGAAGCCAGGAGCCAGGTGCTTCCTCCTGGTCTCCCATGAGGGTGCAGGGCCCAAGGACGCGGTGCCGGCCCAACTTAATTATTTTAATGTGATGTTTGGGAGCTTGAAGGCTTAGAACAAATACAGTGCCCTCGGCTTGTCCTGCCTGTTTCAAGCTGCTGTAACAGAACACCGGAGACGGGGCAGTCTATGATGCACAGGAGTTACTGGGTCGCAGTTCTGGAAGCAAGGAAGTCTGGGATCAAGATGCTGGCCTGGGCCAGCGCCGCGGCTCACCAGGCTAATCCTCTGCCTGCGGCGCCGGCACACCGGGTTCTAGTCCCGGTCAGGGCGCCGGATTCTGTCCCGGTTGCCCCTCTTCCAGGCCAGCTCTCTGCTGTGGCCCGGGAGTGCAGTGAAGGATGGCCCAACTCCTTGGGCCCTGCACCTGCATGGGAGCATGCATGGGAGACCAGGAGGAGCACCTGGCTCCTGACTTTGGATCCGCGCAGCTCGCCGGCCGTAGCGGCCATTTGGGGAGTGAACCAACGGAAGGAAGACCTATCTTATCTCTCTGACTGTCTAACTTTGCTTGTCAAAAAAAAAAAAAAAAAAAACACAAATAAACTTGTTAAAAATCCAATTGAGTTAATGGTGTTGAAAGAAATGCAATCAGCAAATTTGAAGTCTTTTATTAGGTAGTTCTATATCATTTACATAATGAAGAAGATAATATTTTTTCCCTAAAGAAAGGAAATTGGCCAACTATCAGAGAATGATCACATCATGTTAGTCTCAGACTTATGGTCAGTACCAAGATTTTAAAAATATCATTAGACAAATTAAACAAACAAAAGGCACACGAGCTCAAGTCTGGGCTCCACTCTGATGGCCGCTTCCTGCCAGGACACAGCTGGGAGGCAGTGGTAACGGCTCGCGTGTCTGCGGTCTTTCTGTTTACGTGGAAGACCTAGATTTAATTCCCAGCTCCCAGCCTGGGCCCCAGTCCAGCCCTGGCTCTTGTGGGCGTTTGGGGAGTGAACCGGTGCGTCTGTCACCTGTCTCTCTCCTCTCTCCATCTCCCTCCTCTCCCATTGCACTGGTTTCTGACCTGATCTTGCAGAGACGTTGTATACACAAGTGTCATCTGTGTTATCCAACCCCATTTTTGCATACTAATAGCCATCCCATGTCTTGCCTTTAAAGAACTCCGCAAAATACTTAGCATTGTTCGCTAACAGCGCACAAACAGCTCTCCTACTCTGGCATCACCACTGTGTGTAAGCACCAGCATCACCCAGGCAGTTCTCCAATACTTCGCCACCATGAACAGCACTGAATGTAGAGTGATTATGTGCAGGTGTTATTTTGCACAGATGTGATGGGTGGGTGAAAAATTGCTGGCTGGGGCGAGTTACTGCATCAGAGCGATGCACACTGATGATTTGATAGCTATTGCCAAGTTGTTCTCAAAGAAGTTGTACCAACTTACCTTCCTTCTAGCAAGCACTGAGCGTGTGAAAATATGATAAAGACATTTTAAAAGATTTATTTATTTATTTGAAAATCAGTTACACACAGAGAGAAGGAGAGGCAGAGAGAAAGAGAGGTCATCCATCCACTGGTTCACTCCCCAAATGGCTGCAATGGCCAGAGCTGTGCTGATCCAAAGCCAGGAGGCAGGAGCTTCTTCTAGGTCTTCCATGCAGGTGCAGGGGCCCAAGGAGTTGGGCCATCCTCCACTGCCTTCCCAGGCCATAGCAGAGAGCTGGATTGGAAGAGGAGCAGCTGAGACTCGAACTGGCGCCCATATGAAATGCTGACACTGTAAGCAGTGGCTTTATCTGACATGCCACAGCACCGGACCCAAGAAATTTTCACTCAGCTTTTTTTTTTTTTTTTTTTTTACAGGTAGAGTTAGACAATGAGAGAGACAGGGAGAAAGGTCTTCCTTTCTGTTGGTTCACCCTGCAAATGGCCACTTCGGCCGGCGCACCGCGCTGATCCGAAGCCAGGAGCCAGGTGCTTCTCCTGGTCTCACATGGGGTGCAGGGCCCAAGCACTTGGGCCATCCTCCACTGCCTTCCCAGGCCACAGCAGAGAGCTGGACTGGAAGAGGGGCAACCGGGACAGAATCCGGCGCCCCGACCGGGACTAGAATCCAGGGTGCTGGCGCCACAAGCGGAGGATTAGCCTAGTGAGGTGCGGCCGGGCCTACTCAGCTTTTAAGAAACAACACTGGATGGCGGCCATTGCAGGGTGAACCAACAGAAAAAGGAAGACCTTTCTCTCTGTCTCTCTCTCTCTCACTGTCCACTCTGCCTGTCAAAAAAATAAAGAAAGAAAGAAAGAAAGAAACAACACTGGCCGGCGGCCATTGTGGGGTGAACCAACGGAAGGAAGACCTTTCTCTCTGTCTCTCACTGTGCATTCTGCCTGTCAAAACAAACAAACAACACTGCTCACTCGGTGTTAACGTTTCTTCTTTGGGGTGGGAAGAAGCTATACATCAAAAACCGCTTGTAGCCATTTTCTTTGTTGATGCTGTGGGAGGTTTTCCAGTTATTTTGGCTGCACGTTTGACACACTGGTGGTCCGTGATGGACATGTGAAACTGGGCGAACTTCCAGTAGCCCAGGCAACACATGTACACAGTGCATCCTGTGCACGTGATACACACTTCCCTCCTGAAGGAAGACACTGCCGGAAGGTGCTGTTTTGGGGAAGAGAGCGATGCCTGGGAGGGGTACAGACTCCCCGGTGTTCACACTCTGTGCAGTTTTGTCCTGCAGCCACCACTCGAGGGTAGGAAGGGGTCCTTAAGTGCTGCCATGCAACCCACAGAGGAGCGACTGCTGAACACGGCATCGCTTTCCCGCCTTCACAGAACTTCATCGTCTATGTTGTAGCGGCCCAGGGCTGAGCTGCCAGCTTTTAGCAATGCAGTAATCAGTTGTGTTCATTTAATTCAAAAGGCGAAAAGCCAGAGACAGCGAGACTCCCACTTGCTTTTTCTCTTCCCATATGCCCGCGTGGAACCTGGCTGAAGTCAGGAGCTCGGAACTCAACCTGGGTGGCGCGGCCCCGAGCACTTGACTGGTCACTGGCTGCCTCCCAGGGTGCACATTAGGAGGTAGCTGGAATCCGAGCAGAGCTGACACTCGGGCACAGATACTGGGCTGTGCGAGGCAGGTGGCCAGGTGGTGACACCAGCCCTGCAAGCAGATTTTTAAAGAAAGTCCCAACAGAGCTGAATGAAAACTTTCTGTTTTACTGGACTTCTTCATTTAGTTTGACAGTGTCTTACTTATTGCTAAACATGTCCTATTTAAATGTTCGTCTCTCATGCGTGCCCCACGAACCGTATCATTTGCACCACATTCGCTCTGTTCCTGGGACTCCTTCCCTGTTTTATCCGATCTTTGACGTCACCCAGGAAGACAAGCGCTGCTGTCGCCACCGGCCAAGGCCTGTGATGCTCCACGGGGCGGAGCAGTTTCACCTCGGGGCCTCCGTGCAACACAGCCTTTGAACTTCGGGTGCCAACATTCTGGGGAAGACGGAGAAGGGGTGGGGTGGGGTAGGAGTAGGTGGAGGTGGTTGGGTACGAATTTAAAGGCTCCAAATGACTATCTGCCACCTAGGGGCCTCACACGTACTACTGCTCACGGTGGAGTGCAGTATCTCCTGCCCTACCCCATGCTCAGGAACAAGACAAACCCTTGCCAGCGCACGCCTACCGAGATGCGTACATCACAGCTCCAACCAGGACTTCCAAGTGCGACCTTACCGGGAGAGTGGGTGTTTGCAGAAATCACTGATTGAAAGTGAGCCCATTAGGGTGGGCCATGATCCGGTGTCCTTGCAAGGAGAGGGAATTTGGTTACAGATGTTCGAAGAGGAGAGACCACGTGCAAAGATGCTCAGCCACCGAGCCAAGGACAGAGGCCCGGGCCCATCCCTCCTTGATCCTCAGATGGTTGGGGCAGGGCTGCCAGGAGTAGACAGAGCTGGGAGACTACACCTTTCTGGTGTTTAAGCCTCCTGGGCTCAGCAAGCTAATTCACCTGCCTGAGTCCAGTCGTGCGTTTGGATGGTTTAAGCACTTCCCTGTGCGGAGAGAGGCATGTCCCCACAGGAAGCGACAGGAAGCACCATAGCTGGGACCCTGGTTTTAGACGGTGATTCTGAGAATACACTTGAAGGGTCCTCCAGCCTAGCAGAATCTCCCCTCGTGTAGAAACAAGCAGAATACGCAGAACACAGAGTTCTCAGCGGCCTGGGGCACTCACACACACACACAAACGCGCGTGGGCTTCCTCCGGCTCTGCACCCTGGGGTTTTAATTGGCCTTTGAATAGCTGTTTGTCCACAGGCAGGAAATGGAAGGAGATTGTACTGGCACTTGTGTGTCTGAGAAGATATGCAAATATTCAGAGAATGAATGTGGATCTGAGTGGGGTGGGTGAAAATGTAGAAAAAGTGTGAGGAGAGTCGATCGCTGGGAAACAAAGATGTGGGTGCAAGGGGGAAGTTTCAGGGAGAGAAATATTTGAGAAGTGTGTGTGTGTGTGTGTGTGTGTGTGTGTGTGATTCTTCAGAATAACACTGGGCAAAGGCACACAGGTACCCAGAGCCCTGAGTAACTGCCTTGCTGACCCCCAGGCTGCTTGGAGAAGGCCAGTACTGGACTGGCTGGGAGACTGACAGCTGCTCTGCTTTGTAAGATTCACATTGGCCACCAGGGTGTTCTCTGGTGGCCCCATTCTTGTCCACATTTTTAACCTAGTTTGATTCAGCGCATTGCAGAATGTATCTTGAAATGATTTTTTCAAGTTTTGGTTCAAGTTCAATAAAGACATAAGAGGAGTCTTGTGGGGAGCAACTGGGAGCAACTCGGACTAGACTAAGTTACTGGAATTAAGACTTATTCTATGCATCTGCTCTCCCACAATATGGTGCTGAGAAGGGAGAAATAGCTTCTACACAGCTGCCTCCAGTTCAACCAATAAACTGTAGGACCTGCTCCTGATTGGAGGAGAGCAGCGTACTCGGCGTGTGGGTAGCAGAGTTGGGATTGGTGAAGAGGACTATAAAGGAGGAGAGAGACAGCATGCACCAGGAACATCTAAGGGGAACATCTATCTGAAGGAACACCTGAGGAACATCCGAGCAGCCCCCGAGAGAGCCGGCCGGCGGTGTGCCGCTCCCCTGCGGAAGTGGGGAAAGTGGCAGGGGACACCGCCCCTCCACAGAGGTGGAGGGATGGTAGCCAACCCAGGAAGAACCAGCAGCAAACCCGGGAAGGGCCGAGCAGACAAAAGAACAGCACAGGGTCCTGTGTCGTTCCTCCATGAAGAGGGGGAGCGACAGAGTCTGGTTCAGTTGCAGGACAAACAAATCACTTGTAATTCTGTGTTGCTGTTCAAGTAGATGAACCAGCAGTGGGAGGTGATTCGCTGAGCAAGCAAATCATAAACCACCTTTTCATGGAATCTCATTTCTTTTCTAATTAATTCTTAGTTGGTAGCAGTTCATGCATTTTAAAAACTCATTATAGAGCTTAAAAAATAGGATTAAGGGGCCGGCATTGTGCATAGTGAGTTAAATTGCTGCCTGTGACACCAGCATCCCATAGGAGCCCCGGCTGCTCCATTTCCCATCGGCTCTCTTGCTAGTGCACCTGGAGAAGCAGAAGATGACCCAAGTGCTTGAGCCCCTGCACCCACATGGGAGACCCTGAGGGAGTTCCAGGCTCCTGGCTTTGACCAGGCCCAGCCCACTTGGGGAATGAACCAGCAGACTGGACTATCCATCTCTAACTCTGCCTTTCAGGTAAATAAAAGTATTTCTTAAAAAGTGGTTATAGAAATACTTAGTTTTAATTTTGCCTTTTGGTAGACAAGTTCTAAAATATTTACCTCTCACCCTAAATGAGGAAGATTGCTGATCCCTGTTCTGTAAGATTTTGTTTGCTTGTTAAAATATAAGCTGTTAAAATCTGAGAGCGCGTCTTCCAGTGTGTGTGGGGGGAGGGGTATTGTGCTCTTTCCCTCTTTAAAGAAATGTTTAATTTGTTTTCTGACTTGGCAGAGAAACAGACAACCACAGACAAGTTCACTTCCCAAATGCTGACAATGGCTAGGGCTGGGCCACACATAAAGTGGGCATAAGGAGCTCCCTCCTGCCCACCCCCCATACCCCCGTGGGTGGCAGGGACCAAGGCCCTGGCGCATCCCGGCTGCCTCCCAGGGTGCGCATCAGCAGGAAGCTGAAACGAATGCTGAGCGGGGTCTGCAACCCAGGCACTGATGGGGCGCGGGCGTCTTAATTTCTAGGCTGAACGCCCCTATGTTTGTTTCTCAGGCTATTGCCTGAAGCAGGCTGCGGTGGGCGCACCGGCTCATCGTGGCGCCAAGGAGACTGGGAGTCCGGAGAGACCCCTCCGGCAGCGCTCACCGAGCCCCGAGTGCGCCGCGCTGGCCAGGCGATGCCCTCCCTTGCCCTGGCCCCGGCTGAGCGCGCAGCTTCCAGAGCCGTCCCCTTCTCCCCGGATCCCGGGTCTTGCTGGGGGTCCTTGGAAGGCGTAGCGAGACGTTCCTGAACACACAGGTGCCCGTCTTTTGCTTAAAAAAGGTAAGAAAAGGGAAATCCGCGTGCGTTTCTCGTCCCGGCGAGCGGTTTCCTCCCCGTGCCCGGCGCTCCGCGCGCGCGCGGCCCCCAGCGAGGACCCCAAGGCCGCTCGTGGACTCCGCTCGGTTCGAGCTCGCCCCTCGAACCACCCCGCGCCGGGCAACGCCGCCCGCGCCGCCCCTACAGGGGCCTGTCCTCCCAGACTCTTGCTCTCCCTCCGGTGGGGGCCCCCGTGGGCCGCCCCCGACCTCCGCAGGTGGGGACCCGAGTCCCTTCGCGCGGCGCGGGTGGTGCCGGGGCCCCCGGAGGTCGCGATTCGAGCCGGGGGACTCTGGGCTCCGCAGACCAGAAAATGACCTCTGTCCCCGAGGGATCTTCCGATTCAGGCCGGAGGGAGGGGGCGTCGGGGTGCGAGCGGCTGGGGTCGGGGGAGAGCCGAAGGCGACGCGGCTGGGCGCGAGCGCTCCCCTCTTTCCGGACCGACGCAGGTGAGCGCGGGGGCGGGCAGGGCGGGCCGGGGGCGGCGGAGTGGGAGTGGGTGACCGAGTCCTCGGCGGGGACTAGGGAGGGACAGGCTAAACCCGGGGACCCCGCTGCTGCCGCGTCCTCTTTGCCCCTCGCCCGACGCCACCTGGCGTCCCGGGCGCGAGCTGCCCTCCCCGGACACTTCTCCACCCGAGGTCCGGGGCAGCCTAGCCCACCTCTTGGCCTCCTCCAGCGGTGGTCCGGAAGACCCGGAGAAGTGGACTCCAGGGGGTGGCCGGTGTCAGGGGTCGAGTCCTCGGCGCCGGCCGCGGCTCCGGAGATCCGGGCTTTGCTGAGCGCCCCGCGCTCGGGCCGGGCAGCGGCGCAGCCTCTGGGAGCGCAGCCCGCAGGTCAGGCCGGTCTCCGACGGCGGCGGGCGCTCGGCGGCGGGGCCGTGGCGGCGGAGGACAAAGGGCGCGAGGTAGGGGCGGTCGGCGCAGCGAGGGCGCGGGGCGGGAGGGCTTGGAGCCCCAGCGCCGGGGACCGCACTCGCCCGGCGGGGCCCGGCCAAGCGCCGCTGGAGCTGGGACCTGGTCGCCAGCCCCGCGCGAGAGGCCCCGGGCGCGCGGCTTCCTCTGTCGCTGGTCCCGGGAAGGCGGTGCCAAAGTGACCGCGCTCCGCACCGAGGGCGTGCGGGACGCGCGCGCTGTTGCCGTGGGAGCGAGCGAGAAGCGCTTGGCGCGTGGTGAGCGCTCCGCGGAGGAGGCTGTAGCAAACGGCTGGCCCTGTGTCGAGGGTGCGCGCACGCCGGTCTCTGGCTCTGCCACTTTTCCTGCGACGCGACGCCTGGGACGCGGGAGAAAACAGGGCTTCTTCCCAGCGCGGTCCCGCTCCTGGAACGGCTGACTCGGGGGAGATGGGCGCTTGGAACGGGGTCTCCGTTTGGGTCCTGGGTACAAAGGCCGCTTGCCCCGGGTCCAGGGAGGTGCGCGCGCGTGTGCGGCCGCCTGGGCGCTCCGGGTGGAGGCCACTGAGGGGCGCTGGGCCATTGTGCTGTCAGTGCTCTTTGGATAGCCGCGTCTGCGTACCAGCAGCAAAGAGGCCTGCTTGTGCCCTGAAGATTTTTTTTTTTGAACGAACTTTTATTATAGCAGCAAGCGCTGCTTCGGGGCTTGGAAGTGTGTGTGTAATCCCTTTAAAACAATAAATGTGAGCATTTAACTTGGGTAAACATCCTTTTACTCCCAGTGGGAGCGCTTTACATTCTGCGTTAAAACCGAAGGCGCACGGATCCCCGGTGGAAACGCTGTGTTCTGTGGCTCAGTGTGAAGCCGTTTGCAAGCAAATGCTATGCGGTTTCAAAGGCCGGGAGAATCCCACCCGCTCTCCTTAGGGGAAATCGCTAGGCAGCTTTTCAGAATTGTTAAAAGCCAGCGCATTGTTTCTGGAGCACTGTTGAATCCTTGCTCAGGAAAGTTTGTTTTTAGGAAGACGCATTTAAAACGTGAAATAATTGAACGACGCACAGGTGAAGGGCTGGTGTCGTGGCAGAGCAAGTTAAGTTGCTCCTTAGAATCGGCCCCAGCTGCTCCACTTCCAATCCAGCTGCCTGCAAATGCACCTGGGAAAGCAGCAGAAGATGGCCCAAGTCCCTGGGCCTCTACCACCCATGTGGGGAGATCTGGATGGAGCTCCTGGCTCCAGGCTTCAGCTTGGTCCAGCCCTCGCTGTTGTCACCATTTGTGGAGTGAACCAGCAGGTGGAAGATATTCGTTCATCCCCCCCCACCCCATCACTCTGCCTTTCAAATCAAATCAATACTTTTTTTTTTTTTTAAAGCAATGCAGGTGAAGAGACATTTCTGCAAGTCTCTCATGCTGAGACGTGGCTCCTTTCAAGGATGCCGTGAGATCTGTGCCATTTTCAGCGTCCACAGCACTGTGTAATGCACTCTGCTGTTCGCTCTGGCAGAAGTGTGCTTTGTGGAGCTCAGGCTAAAACTGAAGTGCCACCTAATCTTCCTCATCATCGCAGGTGGATTATTTGTGGTTTAAAATGTTTGTAATAGGAGCCAGCGCTGTGGCTTAGCAGGTAAAGTCACCACCTGCAGCGCTGGCATCCCATATGGATGCAAGTTCAAGTCCAGCTCTGCTGTGGCCTGGGAAAGCAGTGGAAGATGGCCCACGTCCTCGGGCCTCTGCACCCGTGTGGGAGACCCGAAAGAAGCTCCTGGCTCCTGGCTTTGGCCTGGCTCAGCCCTGACATTGCGGCCATCTGGGGAGTGAGCCAGCAGATGGAAGATCTCTCTACCTCCCTCCCCCCCCACTTCCCCCCCCCTTTCCTTCTCCACCCCTCCCCCACCTCTCTGAAACTGACTTTCAAGTAAATATTTAAAAAATGTTTTTAATTCATGAAGATAGCTAATTTGACCAATAACTGAAATCTTTTACTGTGCAGGTAACTTTATAAACTTTTTTTGGCTATAAACCATCCCTCTTTGTCTATAATGACTAGTGGGGGACCCTAGCGTTACATGGCTGCGTGGGGCTGGTGTCGGTTGGGCCGTGCCCGTGTCCTCTCATCCAGCCCCCACAAGTACCCTGTGAGCTGTAGACATCACTGTTCCCACGGGGCCTGAGGGAACAGCGTTCAGAGACATTGAGTCCAGGAGTGGGGAGGTGCTGTCCCCTCTCTGCACGCGGGGACGGCTGGCTACAAAGCTGTACAACCGAGAAGCCGAGTCGGATCAAGAAAGCAGACTGTGCCAATTCTGCTCATTTTCCTAAACTGTCATTCTTACGTTCGCATGGACTCCTCATTCGTCCCACCATTTAGTCTCTCCCGCCTTGGCCCAGGGTGGTCAGGGGCCCAGAGCTGTGGTCCACATGTCTGCAGGCCTGCCTCTGTCCTGTTCTTTTTTTGTTTTCTGAGAATTTGCATTTCCCCCCAGGCTCTGTCTTTTCCCAGAATGCATTTGTGGAGGGAACTGGACGTGGGGATTTCTCTACCTGGGAGAGGGACCTCACTTGACTGCATCCAGGACCCCAGCTAGACTTGGCCTCCATCTCCAGTCAGTCCCTCTCCTGTCCGTTCTTGGCTGTTTCTAGCATCTGTAGGAGTGAGAAGAGATTCTTGGTTAAGCAGAAAGCCAGTATTACTGTAAGCTTCCATTTCCTTCTCGACATTTGACATGAGAGCAGAGCCGCTCACTGTGTAACTAATGAGGCCATACTGAGTGCTCACTGTTTCATGTATTGCGTTAGGTGTGGTAGGGGACACATGACCTTGACCTCAACCACAGAGCTGCAGCTGTTACCCTAACCAGTGGCTACAGGCGTGATGGAATTCTAGAAGAGGTAGACTTTGAGTTGCTGTTTAGGGACTGTTCTGGCTGGGCGATAGTTTGGGTGTCCTCAAAGGCTCACGCATCGAAGGCTGCAGTCCCAAAGCCTCCTGTGGACAGTTCATGGGTTGATGTTCGTGGTTGATGGATGAAACACGGAGCTGGATCCCAGACACTGTAAGGTGCCTCTGGTCCCTGTGAGGGGACGGAGATTCTGAAGCTGAGATTGGCCTGGCTCCTCCCTCTGCTTCCTGCCTCACCGTGGGTTCATTCCCCTGCGCACCTGCCACTGTCGCCACCCTCCGTGGGACTCCAGAATGGTAGGGGGTGGTGTTGTGGGCTGTGAACTCCAAAGCTGTAAGCAGAAAAAGCCATAAGCAGAGATACCCCTTCTTCCCGCCTGGATGTTTGTCAGGTGGTAAGGACAAGCTGACTAATGCAAGGCTGGGGGAAGCAAATCTGAGCAAAGGAGCGAACGCGCAAGCAGCCACTGGCTGTGTCCCGAGGTGGTGTGCTTCCTGCATGGTGCCTCGCTTGCTTCTCACCCAGGAAGCTGGAGTATTGTACCCATTGCAAAGATGAGGACATGCAGAAGAGCAGGTGCATGTGGCCAGCGACTCTGGGGCGCCGACTTTGACTCCAAAGCAGGAGGGGAGGCTGGGCGGAGCCAGACTGTGAGGATGGCTTGCCGGGCAGCCTGACGTGAGGGTACCCCCGAGGCCGAGGCCACGTTCTGTGACTTGTGGTCACACAGACTTGCTGACTTTGCACGAGTCGGATGTCTTCTGGATGCGCCAGTGTGGTTCTGTTGGTTCAGGGAGGAGAGCTACTCCTAGGAAATTGTTACAAATGTAAACTCCAGGGCTCCAGAGATCTTCTGAGTGGGAAGGCTGGGGCCCAGGGGCCTGTGTCTTCTGAAGCTGTCCAGGAGGTGGAGCAGCACCGCTCTGGAATGCCCTGGCAGGAGGCCGGTGTGGGGGAGCTGGAGTCCTGAGGGCTGGCACTGTGGGGCAGGGGTCAAGCGTCCTGTACTGGATGTTCAAGTCCTGGTTGCTCCGCTTTTCCTATTGAGTTTCTTGCTAATGTGCCCGAGAAAGTTGTGGGGGAGGGGGCCCAAGTACTTGGCCCCCTCCACCCACAGGGAAGCCCTGGATAGAATTCCCAGCTCCTGGCTTTGGCCTGGCCCAGACCTGGATATTGTAGCCCTTTGGGGACTGAACAGCAGATAGATCTGTCTCTCTGTCAATGTCTCTATGTCTCTGTCAGTCTGCCTTTCAAAAAAAGTAAACTTTAAAAAAAGAAATCATTTCTCACTGACTGCTGACTGTGACTTCTGTAGTTGGCCTTGCCTTTCAGTACTGGTAATTGTACATTTGTACATCTTTTTTTTTTTTTTAATTTCATTTATTTATTTGAAAGGCAGAGAGAGAGATTGATCCTCCAGCAAGAGTTGGAGCTGCGCCGATCTGAAGCCAGGAGCCAGAAGCTTCTTACAGGTGGGCACAGGGCCCAAGGACTTGGGCCATTTTCTACTGCTTTTCTGGGCCATAGCAGAGAGCTGGGTTGGAAGAGGAGCAACTGGGACTTGCACTGGACCCATAGGGGATGCCGGCACTATAGGTGGTGGTTTTACCCACTACACCATCTTTTAAAGTGAGAGTGATCTCAGTGGCTAAGCTGATGGGTGTGTGATTAAGAGCTGGTCACTTGGGAACAGCGCTGTGGCGTAGTGGGTAAAGCCGCTGCCTGCAGTGCTGGCATCCCATAAGGGCGCTGGTTCATGTCTTGGCTGCTCCACTTCAATCCAGCTCTCTGCTGTGGCCTGAGAAAGCAGTAGAAGATGGCCCAAGTCCACATGGGAGACCTGGAAGGAGCTCCTGGCTTCAGATAGACCCAGCTCTGGCCATTGAGGCCATTTGGGGAGTGAACCAGCAGATGGAAGATTTCTCTCTCCACCTCCCCACCTCCCCACTTCTCCCTCTTCCTCTCTAACCCTACCTTTCAAATAAATAAATCTTTAAAAAAATTAAAGAGCTGGTCATTTGGAGTCACGCAGACTCGAGGACACTTGGGCAAGCTACTTAATCTCTAGATCCATTTATCATCTGTATAATGGGTCAGTGATAGGTAGTACCCACCTCATGGGGTGGTTGCAGGAATTCAGTGTGTCACGTGCCAGGCGTGTAGGCCATGCATCAAACAGAGTAAGAGCTCCGACTTGTTTTTCTCATCACACACAACCTGCCTTTGCGCTGGCCTCGGGTGTCTCTCTCATTCTCACCTCTTGCTCTGTGCCTGTGGTGATGGCTTTGAGACCATCCCTGACCTTTTGGCCTCTCCCACCCCTCAGCGTGATGTTGACTGGTCTGCATGGGGAATTGCACCTGTGATACCATCGACCCATCTCCTCTCTGTCTTCAAAGATGCTGCTGACGAGTCAGCTGCATTGAGCATCTAACCAGCAGGTGCATCTGGGGTTTTGCACCACTGGCAGCTGCAGTTTTCTAAGCCCTGACTTTATGCCAACGTTTTCTGTTGTCATTAAGCTTCAGCGCAGCCTCAGGTTGTAGGGACCTGGAGCCACATCCCACAGATGTGTAATTGGAGCGTCGGAGATTTACTGACTACATAGAACCATGTGAACTTGCCATTTTTTTTTTTTGAAGATTTATTGATTTACCTGAAAGCAGGCGATACAGAGAGAGGCAGAGAGAAAGAGATCTTTATCTGCTGGTTCTCTCCCCAAATGGCTGCAACAGCTGGGGCCGGGCTAGTCTGAAGCCAGGGACCAGGAGTGTCTTCCAGGTCTCCCCCAGGAATGCAGGTCCCAAGCACTTGAGCCATCCTCGGCTGCCCTACAAGGCACATTAACAGGGAGCTG